GTGAGAGAGAGAGAGAAAGAGAGAGAGAGAGGCAGACAGATAGAATGTGGTGGTAATGATCTCTTCAGGTCCTTTTCTCAAGTTCCTTAATTTTTTAAATAACCTTTCTATTGTTTGGGCGATTATGCACCTTAGGCTCGGAAAATCCTGCGGGAACTGAAGCATCAAAAGCGCTGCAAGGAGGCAGCCACCACCATTGCAGCGTATTGGCATGGCACCCAGGTAGGCCGCGCCCCCCAGGGCCCTCGCGCTGGGGGCAGGAAGCATTCCAGGGGCTTCCTCTGCTGAGCACACTGCCTCTCAGCGCAGTGCCAGGCAGTGGCAGCGGCAGCGGCAGCACAGCTTCGAGCTTGCCTCTGGTGGTGAACGGTGTCTGTCTTCCTCTTGCTCCGTTGGGTACCCGCAGTAACCTTTCCTGCCTTAAACTTTTCTGTAACTCCTTTTCACATGCATCACAGGCGCGAAGGGAACTGAGCCGGCTGAAGGAGGCGGCTAGGAATAAACATGCTATTGCAGTGATTTGGGCTTACTGGCTTGGATCGAAGGTACCTGACGCACACCCCCCACTCCTCCTTCCTCGGATTCCGCAGTAATCTCCCCTGCCCGCTAGCGTCGCATCGGAGTCATGGCTACAGTTCCTAGTGGCTCGCCCCCATGCATGTCCCAGCAGCCAGTGGAAGAGTTCCTAGACCTGGGGTGGCCAGTGTCATTAGCGCACCTAGGAAGCTTAAGCATGTGTAGGTGAAAAGACTGCATCGCTTACTAACATAACAGCCTTTTGTGGTGTTGTTTTTCAAAAAAACCAAGTTATATGCATGTGTAGATACCCTCCACCCCTTTTTAAAAAAAATGTACATGGGCGGTTTTCTGTAGAAGTTGGGATTCTGGGGGCATGCTGGAATTAGTATATTAAAAACTCAGCTTAAGTCAGTCTACTGGCAATGGAAATGCCTTTCATGCATGCCTTAGAAAAATTAAATCGTGAATGAAATTGTTCTTAGGGTTAATTTTTTTACCCCTTCCTCACTGTGCAACTATTGATTATTGTAAGTGGAAATATCGCATAAGAAAACAATTTTGCCCTCTCTGATTTAACTGAAACTTGTGTTCCTGCAAAGCCAGCTATAATTGCCACTGAAGAACTCCAGGAATGTCAGCATCAGCTGTTCGCTTGCAGAAACAAAGGCCTCCTGAAATGCTCTCCCTAATCCCCAGGCACAGTCGTGGGCTCTGTGAACATTTCACATACCCCACGGGACAGGGTTTTAGATATTTTTGTTACTTTGAAAAAAATGAAAGGTCATTTCTGCTAAAAATGTGTACTCCGGTCAGAAAGACAGCTATCCATATAGTCCTAAGTCTTTGTTTTCACTTTGCTTTAATAACTATGATTTCAGCTGTAGCTTGTCAACATTTTAAACCTACCTTGTGAGAAAAGTCAACGTTTGCCTGCATAGAGGGTTTAGTTTGGGGCGAGAGTTGTTCTCTTGTGTCCTTCCCGCCCAGTCTGTGAAGAGCAGGGTAGTAGGTCCTTTAGTAAAGTGACGACAGACAACAGATCGGAGGCCAGCTGTTACTGGGCGCCTTCTCTTCCCCAGTCTCTGGACTGTAACAGTGAGAAACCCCAACCAGTGTGCTTCTGCCTTTTCAAACAGCATGCAGGAGGTCCATTTTTAAGACCGCAAACTCTTTGCCGTTTGCTTTGTGCCAGCTTTCAGCGTATTTCACTGTTTCTGGCCTGACCTAATATTTGAATTTTTAAACACGTTATTTCTTTAAGTTGGAAAGAATGTTGGGTTTGGGTTTTTGTTTGAACTTCAGAGATGCAGCCTTAGATCCTCCCATTCTTTTATTCACACGTGTGTCCTTTTATATTTGCAAATTACGGAGTGGGAACCGGGATCCAGAGACCTGGCGGTGCAGGGGATAAGTGCTTGGCTGCTAACCAAAAGGTCGGCAGTTTGAACCTGCCGCCCGCCCTATGGGAGAAAGATGAGGTTGTCTGCTCCCAGAGAGATTACATCCTTGGAAACCCTGTGGAGCAGTTGCCCCGAAGGGTCGCTCTGAGCCTGAAACGACTCAATGGCAACCGGTTTTGTTTGCCTTGGAGCCGGGTCTGCAGCCTCCTTAGCCCCGTGAACTGCTTCCCTTCCTGGTCAGTAGGTGCCAGCTCCAATTCTCACTCCTGACAAGGGTCTGAGAGGGTGCGGAGGAGGAAGTGAAGAGAGAGGGGCCAGAGGAGGAAAATGGACAAGAATGAGAGTAAGGAGAGGCGAATTCCTCAGGTTCCCTGTATTGGCCTCCTCAGAATAAACAATCTCATGCACCTGAAAATCTTAAGACACCAGCCTGGCCCTGCCTGATTCCTTGGTTTAAAGGCGTATGCACTGTCTTCTCTCACTCTGAAAGCCTTATTCACAACGTTGGTTCTTCTGGTTGGTGGGGTGTCTTTTTCTGGTCATTTGTGCTTGTCTGCATTGGGCTGTCTCTATGATTTACTATCTAAAACGTTCTAGGCTCGAAGGGAATTGAAGCGCTTGAAGGAGGAGGCTAGGCGTAAGCATGCAGTTGCTGTCATTTGGGCTTACTGGCTTGGACTGAAGGTACTTTCTCCATCACGTCTCTCTGTCCCACAGGGACGCAACAAAGCCTAGCACCTACTAACGCTGAGAGAACTATGGAGTATGCTTGCTCATGGTCTGCACAGTCTCTTAGAATGTTCTCTTACCTCATTTTTGTTCCTTTCAGAGAATAAACCTATGCACTAATATGTTCTAATTTGATCGACATATGTCTCTTTAAATGATAGCTTTAATGTAGCAGCAATGTAGCTTATTCTAATTCAGATATTTTGTACTGTTTTGCATTTTTGCATTATCTTTGTGCGGTCAAAGATGTTTTTTTGTTTTTTCTTAACCCATGAGATAGAGTTATAACCGTTGTGCTGAAACCCGAACCATTGTCTACATTGCTCAGCGTGGATTTTATTTCTCTGTATTTCCCCTTCTGTGTCACCGATGACTGCTTGGGCTCAAGCCTGGCCTCAAAGCAGCCAGCATTCTAGTGGCTGAGCACAGAAACCAAGACGGTTTGCAGCACTAAGCATAGAGGTTTTGATTGGCAAGAGTAGGGTTAAGGATCCAGTAAGCCGTTCAGGTTAAAGAGAACTTTATTTTCAATAAATGTCCTATAGTTCAAATGGGGTTTGTTCTCTATTATTGTTTATGATTGTAGAATGAAGATAGACCTAAGTAAAGTATGACTTCTGAGCTCTGGAAAACTTTCACAGTGACTTCTAGGAATACAAGGATTTTCAACCTTTCAGTGCCAATAACTCCTAAACCTCAGAGGGGCCATCATATGGTTAACTAGGCACCCTTTGGACATTATTCCTCATAACTATTTTTGTTTGCTTCTTTTGAAAGTTTGGGGAGATTTTCACTATTTCTCTATTTTTTCACATTTTCATAAAAGGAAGGGCAAAAGCCAACATGAGTCAAGATACTCGGTCACTATTTTTGCTGCCAGTAACATAAGGTTACTCTCCGTTTTCTGGGTCTAACTGCTTAGGGCTTCCACATTAGAAATGTACACTAGCAACTTACAAACCAAATTCCCTTTGTAGCTGAATGATGTTTTAGCTCAGATGTTCTCAACCTGTGGGTCACTGACCCCTTTCGGGGTCGCCTGATTCATAACAGTAGCAAAATTAGTTATGAAGTAGCAACAAAAATAATTTTATGGTTGGGGGTCACCACAACATGAGGAACTGTAGTAAAGGGTCGTGGCATTAGGAAGGTTCAGAATCACTGTTTTCGCTGAAGTTAATTGGGTCTACTTAGACAAAACTGCTATTTTACGTAACCATTATCAATGTTGTGATAAAGATGAAACATTTTTAAAGTTCAAAAAAGAATTATGTTGCTATGAGCAATCGTTTTACCTTTTGAGATGATTTGTTTCTTTTTATGGATGTGATTATAACATGTATTGGACTCTCCTAGAAGGGTCCCCACAACCTCCCCCTGCACCCCGCAAAAAATCTCAAACCCACTGCCACCAAGTTGATTCTGACTCACAATGACTTTTGTGGGGTTTCTTTCCGCTTTATGGGAGCAGACAGCCTCATCTGTCTCTCGCGCCCAGGCACCTCACACAGTTGGGAGCGCACATACATGTCCCTTCGACAGGTGCTCTGATCCACCTAGTTCTTGTCATACGGGAATGGGGCCCGCCTCCTGCTGCTGCTGCTGCTGCTGCTTCTAGATGCCAGCTAGGCGGTTCCAGCTCAGATAACCCCGTGTCCAGCAGCACGAGACATTGCCTGCGCCTGGGCCGTCCTCACCGTCTTCCCTGTTTGAGCCCATTGCTGCAGCCACGCTTACCAAGCGCTCTCATCTGAGAGTCTGCCTCTCTTCCCCCGACTCTCCAGGCACGCTGTCCTTCGCAGGGACCGGTCCCTGGATGCCGGGTGCAGACAGCGTGAGATGACGCCTCAGTGTGCTCCCTTCTAACAGCTTGCTGCCTGCACTGCTTCCAAGCACGTGTTCATTTTTTATGGCAGTTCATGCGTATTTAATATTCCTCGCCAGTGCCATGGTTCCAGCCCTCACGTGCCTGTGAGTGTGCCTGGAGTCCGCTAGTCTTCAAGGCGTAACATCTTGACTGTGTAGCGTCTTATGTAGCAGCTTTGCTCAACGTAATACATTGTTTGCTTTCTTGACTGCTACTTCTGGGGGTGATCATGATCGGTCCAAGGAAAAGGAAATCCTGGGCAACTTCCATCTTTTTTCTACTCAGCACGATGCTATTTTTTGGTCCAGTTGTGAGGATTTTTGTTTTCCTTATATTTATTATTAAGTGTTGAAAGTTGTTGTCTTTGATTTTCTGTTCTTGCTAGATCACAGAAAATTTTAATAAAATTTTGAATTGTGTGAAATTTTTCATCTAAATAAGATAAAACATTTATCTACAAATTGAGCTTGGTTTGGAGTTGCTGGTTTCTAGTCCATAAGACAGAAATATCTTAAACTTGTATAGTTAAACCCAGAAAACTGAAGACAAAGGAGAAACATGCATGTTTGAGTTATTCAAGCAAGTGAGTATTAAGCTAAATACTGACTCTTGATAGCTGATGGTTAATAGAAGTTTTAAATGGTTTTTCCCTCTATTTTAATTTTAACTGTCACTTATTCATTCATCTAACAAACACCTCACTTAGTTCTGATTATTTGTTAGGTACCTGCATATGAAATATATATGATGCTGAAGCAAGGAAGACATGTGAAGGGGCTTCAAGAAGTTTGTTGGGCGGGGGAATAATTTTTAATACAAACTCTGTGGAGGTTTATATGTAAACTAACTACCGCATGGTGTTTTAAGTTCTAGAATAGCATTAAGCATAACGTTTGGTGAAAGGTTGAGAGAAAAATTAGTGCCATTAAATGCAAGGTAATAATAATTTAAAAGCTTCTTTGTAAATTTTTATTTTTAGCCCTATTCAATTCTCATTATACAGATTTAAAGTGCTTTCTATCTTCATGTGCAAGACTTGAACTATGATCCTTTCTTGGACATATGGTGCTTATTAAAAGTAATTGAAGCAGAAATCACCTTACAATTTTTCAAAAATAATGATACTTATTGTCAAATACTTAGGCCCTTTAAGACTGAATAAGAGGATTTAAAAATAATTCTGGTATTATCCATCACTTGTTATGTCTTCATTTCTTTTTCTCTGACTTAAAATGCACTATCTGAATCTGTTTCGACTATTTTACTACACCAGAAAGGACACTGATTTTTCAACTCACTTGTAGCACATAGTTTCAGCCTTAATCAAGGAGTCTCGTCTTCACGAACAACCACTAACCACATGCTAACCACCGTCATCTGCTTCTTTTTTAAGGTGCGGAGAGAGTACCGAAAATTCTTCAGAGCTAATGCTGGGAAGAAAATTTATGAGTTTACACTGCAAAGAATTGTAAGTTACTGGCTATACTTGATGAATACGGTTAACTGGTTTTGTTAGCACCGTCTCAATAAAATTTTGGCTTCTTTGGGAATAATTAAATCAGCCATGGATGGGGGGGAGAAAATCAACCAGCCATGGTACTGAGAAATAGTAGCCATTTAAAAACCATCTTCCTAAGAATTCAGGTAAAATTGTGCCTGAAAGAATGATTGGTAGTCCATGTTTGAGAAGTAAATGTTCGTCCTGCGGGACGGAGCTGCTTTGGGCCAAGGTGGACCCAAGAAAGCCTGCCTCTTGCCCTGCTAAGGTGCCACTGAGCTGACACCAGGCAAGGTTGGCGAGCAGGCTAGTTGGGGGGTGCGGTGGGGGGTGAACAAGTGAGACTGTGGTTCTGCAGGTCCCCTTGCTTTCAAAGGCGTATGCACTGCCTTTCTTAGACTTGTGACCTTGGACAAGGTCCCTGAGTTTCGCTGGCGATCGGATTAGCATGCACCTCTGCGTTGGGAGGATTACAGTGAGGTGATGGTAGGCCTGCTCTTGGACCGCTTTCTGACGCACAGGAAGTACTCTGGAGCAGTGCTGTCCAATCAAACGCCCTGTGACATTGAAAGTGCTCTATGTCCTGGTGCCACCATGCAGGAGCCACCAGCCACATATGGTGCGGGAGCACTTGAAATGTGACCAGTGGGACTGAGGAGCTCTAGTTCACTCTATTCCATCGTGATAACTGACTTCTCATTTAGGTAGCCAGAGGTGACCATTGGCTACCCATGTGGACGGCACTGCTCTCTATGGTTTGATCTGGTGTGTCCATGTCAGTATTACTACTGCCGCCGTATTCTTTTCTCAACCATCGGTGTTATATAAAAAGTGGAAACAAATTACCAGAGGACTGGCAATGTTTTCTGGACTGAAACTTGCTTAATTCCACCAGAGATTGGTTTCTTAATTGTAGTATATATAGAACAATATCTTTTCTGCTGGGTTCTACTAATCTAGTATTTCCTTTCAAACTCGACCCAGGTGCAAAAATACTTCTTGGAAATGAAAACGAAGATGCCATCCTTGTCTCCGATCGACAAGAACTGGCCGTCCAGACCGTACCTATTCTTAGACTCTACTCACAAGGAACTGAAAAGGATTTTCCACTTGTGGAGGGTAAGAAAGGCCTTATACTCATTTCCCCCCCAGAGACGCCCTGCCCCGTATTGGAGTGTTCGGGGAATGTAGCATGAAAGTACATGTTTCACACATTCTTCCTCTGGCATGCAAGAGAATTACTTGAGGTTTTCGGTATTTTTGAGCCAAGGACTGTCCTTGGCTTTCTCGGAGAAGCGTGCAGCAGCTGGGCCGTTTCCCGGGCAGTCTCCTCTTGCAGGGCGCACACAGGGCATGTTCTGCACCTTGGCTTGTCTTCTCTCTCTGGTTCCTGTAGGGTAGCATTGGGTTTTGTTGTTTCTGGTTTTTTGCTGCTCTGTTCTCTTTATCTGAAAAGTACTGAAGGGGGGCAGGGGGCGGGGCGAATCTCTTCAGCCCAGACAGTTAAGTCCTGCAGGTTGTATGTGTTTCCTTCATGAGATTTACTGGATGCGCAGGCATCCATATAAACACACACCTTGTGATAGACTGTTAATAAAAACACTGAAGTCTCTAAAAGGTATTACGATGTCCTCAACCTCAACTAAAGGGAAGTTGGAAAGCTCACATTGTCTTATCTGAGGGCGCCGCATGGGGGCACAAAGAGGATTCGGTAGATGTTTTCTTGATTCCAGGCACCACCAGCAGCTCCGCTAGAGAAAGACTAGCGAGCACTCCCATCAACAGCGGCAGGCTCAGACCCGCACAACATTGACTCGATGGTAGGGAGTTTGGCTTGGAGCTCAGTTGATATTTGTCATGCTGAATATCTACGGAGCCCTGGTAACGCAGTGGGTCACTCATTGGGTTGCTCACCATAGGGTCAGCAGTTTAAAACCACCAGCCACTCCACAGGGGAAAGATGCAGCTGTCTGCTCTTGTAAAGATTGGAAACCCAAAGGAGAAATTTGACTCTATACTACAGGGTTATTATGACTCGGAATCTGCTCAAGAGCAGTGGGTTTGGGGTGTATATACATACAAGCACCAGATGTTATAAAGTAATTGAATTGAAGGGCTGGTATTTGGTAAGCGAATGATCAGTGGACACACCTTTAAAGGTGTGTGTTCCTTCTGCACCAGCGTCACAGAACGAGACATTATCTCTAGTTCATGTAACAAACAGCGCCAGCCCAGCCTAACATTCGGAGCGGAATTCCGATCTCTGTTCCCTAACTTAGTGGGCCAATGTGGCAAGAAAGTTCGCCAACCTCATCACTGGCCACTCCCTCTTTTGAGTCTGACAGAGAAGCTCAGTCAATGCCAACTGAGCCACTGACCTCAGGTCAGCGTCTAGAGCCCCCTGGCTTCTGTATCTCACCGTCCCTCACAGGAGTGGAGGGTGGACTTACTACTTCTAGAGGGAGCTGTGTCGCAGCATCACAACATCTCCGTGTCATTATCCCAGCGCTTCGTATCCAGACCTGTAAGGGAGATTTTGGAGAGCTCACCAAATCCTTGCCCGGCCCCTCCTTCCGCCCCCCGCCTCTTCCAACGTAGACTCCGCATTGGGGTGAAGAGGCCTTTCTCAGGCTCTCGGCCACATTGTAAAATGGGGGTGAGGGAATTTGGAGTAGTGCTTTTCAAACTGTGGGTGGTCCCCAGTCCCCATTTATTGGATCCAAGTCAAAGTCCAACAACCACCAGTTCTGTGCTCGTGAACTAGCAATCATCTGCGTCTTCTCACACGAGGGAGCTTCAGCCTTAAAAGTCCAAGGGCTACAGGGGAGATTGAGGTAAAGCTCAGTCACTAAGTGGGGTTTCCACATCAAGTGTTACCGGTGTGGTCTATGAAGGATGGTGTGTGCCCCGAAAGAACAGGGTCTAGAGTCCCAGTCGTCTATAGCACATGGCCACCAAGAGCTGGAGAGAAACTAGGTCAAACGTGTCTGGTCGGTAGCATAGTACCAGGCATATTCCCCTCCTGGGTTTATGTAAGTTTTGTTAAGTATTTTTCCCAATGGGAGATTGCTCCTCCCTGTTTTCCTACCAACAGAAATGCGATTGTCTTCTCCCAGACATACATGCTCCCCTCCCCCTGCCTTGACTTGACTGTCAGTGAGGTTTACCTGTCACTCTGGAATGAGTGCTCGATGACATTTTCCAAGGGCAGCTTTTTTTTTTAAAGGCCACAAAGGTAAAACGTTTCGGGATTCTTGTTGTGGCCTTTGGAATGAATGTGCCCTACGTGGTCACACTTATTCTCGTTGCTGTTAATGGCTTAGCACATTGCAGAATGAGCCAGGACCCATCTAGGAAGAGAGGTGTGTTGAGTTTTCCTCCTCCTATTTTACAGTGTAAAAAATACCGGGACCAGTTCACCGACCAGAAGAAGCTGGTGTATGAAGAGAAACTAGAAGCCAGCGAACTCTTCAAGGACAAGAAGGCTCTGTACCCGGCTAGGTATGGCTGCTCTGCTCTCGCCACAGCGGTGTTAAGGTTTCTCGGGCATGTGAATAGGAATGTTGGCGTGGAGTGTGCTATCAATAATACATGAATGGTTTCCCATCCTGAGTCTCATTTCCTCATCAGCTGAATATGCATACGCACTGAAACCATGGTTCCCACAGCTCTATGCAAATCTGGTCAGGAACTCGTTCGTAAGCTGCAGGCAGTGAGTGGGCAGCCCACTGACCGCTCTTTTCTGAGTGCTGCTTGGACATGCCCCAAGCCCGTGGTCTGTTCGGCTCACTCAGCGGGCTTTCACCTCAGTGGCCAGAACAACAAGTTTGGCGTCTGTAGTGCGAACATCCTGTACTGGGGGAAAAAGGCCATCACCACTTGCAGATTTATCCAGCGAAGTCCGAGCTAACGCCTGCTTGTCTGATTTCTTACATCTCCAGTAATCCTGTGTTTCTCCAGAATTCCCATCCCTTTCTCGTCCTTCAAAGCAAATGAATAGCAACTTTCAGCTTCTCCCACAGGGCGGCCTAGAAATAAAAATATGTATTATATGCTGATGTATACACCTAGGGGGCTTCTATAAGTTTGTGGAGACGTTCCGCTCTATTTTATGTCCGGTTTTCGACATGTCTTCATTTAAAGCCCTCTCGTGTATTCCATAGGCTCTGTTTACATTCCCTGCATCCTTGCACATACTTGAAAGCTCTTCCTTCTAAAGGGTTATGTGAACACAAGATGCCAGGCTCGGCTGGCTTAAATATTTTAAATTCCTTGGTTAGCTAGACTTGTCAACTTGAGGTGGCACATAACACTCCTCACTCAAGGACAGGGACTAAATCTACTTGCATTGCATGCAAAATGGCTCTGTGAAGCATATTCTCACAGGGAAATGGTCTGTAGGCTTTCCTTAGCAACAGCTTTTTTCCAACCATTTATTTCTTTGTACACTTTTAAGTTCCAGAGTGGCCTGTTTAATGAGCATCCCCCATAGTTGATGCTTCAGAAATGGGACTTTTTTTTTTTAAGGAACCAAATTAAAAGGCCTTTAGCACTTTTTGTTATTAAAACCACATGTAAATATGAACCGCCACAACAAAAATGTGACTACCACGCCAAATCTTTTTTTGGTGTTTGATCAGTGTTTAGGGGGTGGTGGTAGCAGGCTTGTCCTACAGCAGTGGGAGAGGTGGAATAATCAAGCCTCCCACCCCTTTGTGACTATGGGAGTCAGCCTTTTGTATCATGGGAGCTGTGAAGCACAGAGCACCTACGTGGATTTTCCCCCAGTCCTCCACCCACAACCTGGGTGCTTAAAGTGGTGCTTGCAAATCACCAGAACTTCGTAGCTCTGCGTGAAGTTTTGCCCACTCTTCAAGCACAGTTTCTCGGCTGCCTCTAAAGAAGTTCTCTAGTTTAGAGGCCTGCCCCACACGCCTCTCAGGATATGAATGGCAGCTGGAGGGTGAGTGCCAGATTGTGCCTTGCAAGAATTAAATGATTGGAAAGATAACTCCCTCAATCTCCAGCATTTGCCTCGGCCATTTCTGTCCATAGGTGGGCTTACCTGAGGGCTTAGGCTTATTCTCCTTTTGTATCTTGCATCTCTGGGGCCTTCGTTACTGTAGATTCCTTCCAAAGTGGTTGCCCTGGATCCATTCGTTCCCAGAATGCCTGCTGATTTTCCTTGCACTCCGCAAAAAAGAGAAATGTATTCCATTGGGGCAGGCGACGGCAACCATCTCTGTTCGTTCTTCCGTTGCCATATTAGTTGTGAAAACCCCAAACTCCCTGCCATTGGGTCAGTGCCGACTCCTAGTGAGCCTGTCTAGGGCTTACTAAATGCTTTGTGGGCAGTTGTTAGCCTTAGGTTAACAGATTAGAACCACCAAGAGCCAAGTCCGTTACCATCCGTTGGATCCTAACTCCTAGTGACCTTGTGTGTGTGAGAGAGTAGAACTGTGCTCCAAAGGTCTTTCAGGGCCGATATTTCAGAATTCGAATGGCAGGCCTTTCTTGGGTGCCTGTGGGTGCGCTCAATGATGTAGCAACTCGAGGCTGTTAACCCTTTGTACCACCCAGTGACTCCAGCAGAACAGGAGGGGGGTCCCATTTCCTGCGCACGATCCTGTGCACTGGTGTCTTAGCCGTGGTTCTTGTAAATGGTTTTCTGCCCTGATAATTTCATGTGATATTTTTCTATCTAACCTAAAACAAACAACAACAATAACAGCAACATTTTAGATAGCTTTTAAAGGGTGCTTTCCAACATAGTTATGATAGGGGCAGATTTAATGTGTAAAATATACAAGATACCCTGTTTCCCCGAAAGTAAGACATCCCCCGAAAATAAGACCTACTTACAGTTTTGCCCCTCCCTGAAATATAAGGCATCCCCCCCAAAATAAGGCCTCCCGAAGCTACCCTAACTCTGGACTCTGGACCATAGCAATGGGTGCCACCGCACAGCTCACTGTTATCCGCAGTGCAGCCAGAGCAGATAGGAAGGGCGAGGTCTCTTTTAATAAAACAATAAACAATAAATGTGTTCCGTATTCTTCTTCATGGAAAAATAAGACATCCCCTGAAAATAAGACCTAGCACATCTTTGGGAGCAAGAATTAATGTAAGACACTGTCTTATTTTCAGGGAAACGGGGTAAGTTTGAAACCAACCCTTTCTTGTTTTTTCCCAGTAATATCTCCATTGAAAACAATTTCTAATATACAGGAATTTTTTCCCTCTTTAGTGTTGGGCAACCTTTCCAAGGGGCTTACCTGGAAATCAACAAGAATCCCAAGTATAAGAAGCTCAAAGATGCCGTTGAAGAAAAGATAATCATTGCCGAAGTTGTGAATAAAATTAACCGAGCTAATGGGAAGGTAAGGAGCCATGGTGGTGTAATGAGTTGTGTGTTAGGCGGCTAACCTCAGCAGGCTGGCAGTTCAAGCCCTCCAGCTAGCTGCTCCATGAAATACGAGCTGTCCCCTCCTGTCTGTGCTAGCTAGAGGCCTGCTATTAGTTAGAATGGACTCATGGCGGTCAGTTTTTGGCTTTTTTTTTTTTTTTTTTTAATTGAAAGGTAGACTGTTAACTAACTCTGCAGACTGATCTGAGGTGTTTATCAGTTGGGACTCTTTCTTCGTTTTCTGAAAGTTTTACGTTTCATATTCTCCACAAAGTTATTGTGACGGGAGCTATTTCATTTCCCCTTCCCTTGATGCTCAAGCAGAATGAAAATGTATGCCTCTGTTCTTTATTGTGTACTCAGTTTACCTAGCTGTGCATGCTGAACAACTGGCATACAGAGTGCATAGTTGTGCAAAACTAGCGCCTTAAATCCAAGGATATTCAGGGATATTTTTGATACCTCTTTGATTTTACACCTTTTTGGTTTTTTGTTTTAGAGTACATCCCGGATTTTCCTCTTAACAAATAATAATCTCCTTCTTGCGGATCAGAAGTCTGGACAAATCAAGTCAGAGGTTCCCTTGGGAGACGTGACCAAGGTGTCCATGAGCTCCCAAAACGACGGCTTCTTTGCTGTCCATCTCAAAGAGGTACGGTGGCAACTGTTGAGTTGGAGCGCCTCCTACGTTTGCCAAACTCGCAGCCATTGGTTGAAAATCTGACCAATCTTATTGCTGGGATTTGCATATCTCATGTTCACCGATGTGCGCATATTGCCTTTCTTCAAATATCAAACTTCGTTTTCCAATAATTGAATAAGGTTAATTGCTTTTATCCACTTGTTCACTTGAGATTTTTATTTAATTGAATAGTGTTTGTTTGCACCCACCAGGACGGACCCTGGGTGTTGCTTTGGAGATCAATGCATAGAAACATTAAGATGCTCTGCATGAGGATTCTTCCCGCGTTTGTTCTATGTACCAACTTAGTGGATGTTTTTTGGTTTGCGGATTTTTTTGTTGTTGTTCTTGTTAAAGAAAACAGCTGCCTCGGAATGTTGACCTACAGATTTTGGAGTGTTGTAAACTTGTAGCCGAGAGCCGGGCCCTCCCGGCTGGAGTGGAGCAGTTCCAGGGGGGGTGTCTTCCAGCTTGATGGCCCAGGCTACAGCTTTGCCGAGCTTTGTGTATCTTTCTGACGCTCCTTATCTCTAAAACGTAGATAACACTATCTGCAGCCTAGTGTTTTGAAGAGGCTTACTCAGTACACTGTAGATAAAGTGCTCTCGCACAGTGCCTGCCACCTAATAGCTCTGAAACAACTGTGAGCAGAGACTGATTGTCATTTTAGCTGATCCTCGATTGAGAAAAGCTTAGTGTAAGTTTCCTCAGCCTGTCTTCCCCTTGTGGATCGTGACCAGAAGAGGCCAGATCCGAATTTCTCCAAATGGGGCACAAGCATCCTATTTCTCATACTTCCCTTGTGCAGGGAGGCTCCTGCCCGTGGGTTTTCAGTGGAATTGGGCTCCCTTTTTGTTCTTGGTTTTTAAGTGCTCTCTCAGAATGCGTTACAGGTGAACTCAGTGCTTCTTGAACTGAAAGTTCAAACAGACCCCCTGAGGGTCTTGTTGTGGATGGATATTCAGTGGACCTGCAACGGTGCTTGTGAGTTCATTTTTCTCACAAGTGCCTGGTGATGCTGATGGTGCCTCTGGGCATCAGCCCAGGACCAACAAGGGGTGAGGTGACCTTGCTCAGCTGCCCAGAGCAAGTTGGAAGCAGTGCTGTTGTGCTTATTGTTTCATGTGGCAGAACAGGCCCCAGTGTTGAGTGTCTTAAAGAGACTGTAAACACATTAGCAGTGTGACCTGCAAGCATTAACCTCCGCTGGCTTTCCCCGGGATCGTCTGACTCTTGGTTTGCCTTTCCAGGGTTCAGAAGCAGCCAGTAAAGGAGATTTCCTCTTCAGCAGTGACCACCTGATTGAAATGGCCACCAAGCTGTACCGTACAACTCTCAGCCAAACCAGACAGAAGCTCAATATTGAAATTTCTGATGAGTAAGTTCATGTATTCCTATTTAATTTATACAAGGAGTCTTCAAATCATTTCTGTAAGAATTCCTTTATCTTTTCATTTCACTCGTCCATGAATTTTTTGAAGCCCCCTTGTCTAACAGCGATTTTATTACACACTGTGTCCTGGTGGCGATGGCAGGTGAGCATTGGACTGCAAGCTGTTGAAACCCTGTACCCTCTTCATGGGCGAAAGAGGGGCTCATCTGGGCCTGGCATTGGGCCTGACATTGGCATTGACAGCTGAGAAACCCTGCAGAGGGTTGCTCTGAGTCTCAGCCAACTGGATGGCCGTGTGTCTAGAGTTGTGCTAGGGGATTGATGGCAGTGAACGAGACTGATTGAGTCCGTGCCTTCAGACAGCTGGATGGACAGACACAAAGTTGCCCATAGTGATGTGGTGTTGGTTCATGACAAGTGCTATCTATGAGGCCTTGGACAAGGGTGATGGGTCAGAATGTGCTATGTTTGATGGTACATTTTGCAGACGGTGGGATTTGTGGTGCGCTGCAGTTGTGAACCAAGTGAGGGAATTAGCCGTGCACTAATCTGGGGGAGATGGCGAGGCCTTGCACAGCAGGGAGGCAGCAGGTGCACAGGTCCTGGGACGGGCATCAGCTTCCTGTCACTGAGTGGGGGTGACTGGGAGAAGACTGGAGAGAGAGGCAGGGGCTCGCCGGGTAGAGCTGGCAAGCAGAGGTAAGGAGTTGAGCTGTTACTGAGTGGAATGGGAAACCAGTGTAGGCGTCCCCTGAGTTTTGCCACGCGAGACCACTCAGAGTGAGTGTAGCAAGGGAAGCATGGCAGCCGAGAAACGAGTTAGGAGAGTCTCAGAGCTGTCTGCCGGAAAGAGGGGGTATGGCTTCAGCTGGTACGTGAGAGGGAGGTAGTGAGAAGTAGTTGGATTCCAAATGTAATTTGAAGGAAACCAAGAAGGCTTATTAACAGATTGGCTGCTAAGTTGGGGCCCAAATGCTTTTGCCATTTAATGCAGAAAGTGACACTGAGAAATGGGGCTGGGGTGAGATTACGAGTTCTGTTTTGAATGTGTTAGATTTGGGATGGACTGATTTTTGTGTTTTGTTTTGTTTTTCGTATTACATAAGTAGAGAGCCCTGGTGGTGTAGTGGTCACGAGTTGGGCGGTAAACCTCCAGGTCAGCAGTTCAAAACCCCCAGTCGCTCTATGGGTTCTTCTCCCATAAAGAGTTCTGCCCTGCCCTTGAGGACCACAAGGGTCACCTTGAGTCAGAATCCACTTGATGGCAGTGAGTTTTCGGTTTGGTGGACAAGGGTTTATTAATATTTAGTGGCAGGGCTGGATTAAAGTTGAAAATTTTACTTTACATTTTAACACCTTGTGTACTGTCTGCCTGTGTACTACAAGTACATGTATGTATAATGCAAGTTCCTATCACGAGATTATTTAGGAAATTGTTTTCATCTTATAATCAAAAATTTGCCAGCCTGCCTTGCCTTGATGGTTCCTAAATGTCTTCCTAAAATTAAGCCCTCCTTCTTCCTGCCCTGTTTGTTAGGGAATCAGGCTGGCTGCCTCGGGCTGGGCAGTGGCCTGCATTCTTAGCAGGCACTGCTAGGACTGCTGGAGGTTGGGCGGGGCATTCTGCTACGCGTGGAGTGTGGACTCTGTTGAAATCTGATCTTTTTTTCCCCCTTTTTAAAAAAAATCATTTTATTGGGGGCTCATACAACTCATCACAATTCATACATCCCATCCATCCATTGTGTCAAGCACTTTTATACATTTGTTGCCCTCATTGTTCTCAAAACATTTGCTTTCTGCTTGAGCCCTTGGTAACAGCTCCTCATTTTCCCCCTCCTTCCCCTCCCCCCCTCCCCCATGAACCTTTGATAATTTAAAGTTATTATTTTGTCATATCTTAACACTGTCCCACATCTCCCTTCACCCACTTTTCTGTTGTCCATCCCCCAGGGAGGAGGTTATATGTAGATCCTTGTAATCGGTTCCCCCTTTATACCCCACCTTCCCTCCACCCTCCTGGTATCTCCACTCTCACCGTAGGTCCTGAAAGGCTCATCTGTCCTGGATTCTCTGTATTTCCAGTTCCTATCTGTACCAGTGTACATCCTCTGGTCTACCCAGATTTGTAAGGTAGAATTGGGATCATGATAGTGGGGGTAGGGGGAGGAGGAAGCATTTAAGAAGTAGAGGAAAGTTGTATGTTTCATCTTTGCTACCCTGCACCCTGACTGGCTCGTCTCCGCCCTGTGACCCTTCTGTAAGGGGGTGTCCAGTTGCTTACAGATGGGCTTTGGGTCTCCACTCTGCACTCACCCTAATTTACAATTATATGATTTTTTTTGTTCTTTGATGCCTGATACCAGATCTCTTCGACACCTTGTGGTCACGCAGGCTGGTGTGCTACTTCCATGTGGGCTTTGTTGCTTCTGAGCTAGATGGCTGCTTATTTATCTTCAAGCCTTTAAGACCTCAGACACTATATCTTTTGATAGCCAGGCACCATCAGCTTTCTTCACCACATTTGCTTATGTACACATTTGTCTTCAGTGATCGTATCGGGAAGGTGTGCATACACTGATGTGATTTTTTGTTCTTTGATGCCTGATGCCTGGTCCCTTCTACATCTCGTGGTCACACAGGCAGGTGTGCTTCTTGTGGGCTTTGTTGCTTCTGAGATAGATGGCTGCTTGTTTACCTGCAAGCCTTTAAGACCCCAGACACTATATCTTTTGATAGCTGGGCACCATCAGCTTTCTTCGCCACATTTGCTTATGCACCCATTTGTCTTTAGCTATTGTGTCAGGAAGGTCTGCATCATGGAATGCCAATTTAGTACAACAAAGTGTTCTTGCATTGAGTAAGTCCTTGAGTGGAGGTCCAATGTCCATCTGCTGCCTTAATGCTAAACCTATAAATATATGCACGTCGATCTATTTCCCCATCATCCTATATAAATATATTTACATATGTACATGCCTTTATTTGGCCTCTATAAATGCCCTTTGCCCCCTAGTTCTTTCCTCTATTTCCTTTGACTTTCCTCTTGTCCCACTATCATGCTCAGCCTTCATTTGGGTTTCAGTAATTTCTGTCGGTTACATTGCCCTTGCTGAATCCCTACCCGGCCTCTCACACTCTCCTTGCAACTAATTTTGGATCACTTGTTGCTCCCTTGTCCCTAGGTTGGTCAACACCACCTGCTTTCCCCTGCCTCCCCCTCTCCCTTGTCTCACTGGAAACATCCGTCCTGTTGTTTTCTCCTCCAGACTGTTTATGTAGCCTATCTTATCTAGATAGACCTGCAGAGATAATAATATGCACCAAAAAACAAGGCATAGTAAGACAGAGCGATGAGCTCATTTTCCATCACAAGGCCTTTTTTATAAAACAAAGAATATGAATGAGTTAGATAATGGCTGGTTGGGTTCCATTTAATTGAGGTCTTCCCTTGTTGGAGGTTTAAATTCCCCTTTGTTAGAAGTTTTCATGATTTGGGGTGTGGCACCTGTTCTACTGCCAGGGCTAATCCCTACTCATTGTGGGGAGAAGGCGTGCGTCATCCAGATAGCAGCCTCGAGTTGACCACATCCGTTAAAGCGGCTTTCTTCATAGTGAACAGAGCATCCTGGTTGCATAATGGGTCACGCATTCAGCCTCTAACCACAAGGTTAGCAGTTTGAACCTCCCAGTCGCTCTGTGAGAGAAAGATGAGGCTGTGTGCTCCTGAAAAGACTTAAAGCCTCAGACACCCCAAAAGGCAATTCTGTCCTTGATGGCAGTGGGTAAGGATGGCTAACCCCAAGCCTTGCACAGAGCAGTGTTCTAGGAACACGGCCTTTGTAGGATGCTGATTACAAGGCGCCCGCTCTCTGTGGAAATCTGACAGCTTTCTTTAGGACAGTACTTCATTCCACAGCAGTTAGGTCACTTCCTGATTCAGGGTGGCCCCACTGTACTAGCGCAGGACTGAGTTCCTCAGAGTCCTCAGTGGCTGAATTTTTGGAAGTGAGTTGCCAAGCCTTTCTTCCAAGGTACCTCTGCAAAAGTTCAAACCTCCAGCCTTTGGGTTAGCAGCTGAGCACATGAACCATTGGTACCACCTCCAATCACACACGGTGACTCTCCTCAGAGGACACGAGCTGGTGGGTGGAGTGTGCTGTGTTTCCCAAACACTCCCTGACCCAGAACCCCTAGAGCGACTCTCAGGGTCTGTGTTGGGAAGTACCCAGTTCAGGAAACACTGAGGTGAAAAGTGCACTTCCCAGCAGCAGAGACCGAAATGCTGCTCTGTCACCCAGCACACGTGATGTTATAAATGCGTAAGCCTTCAGGAGACGTGGTTGTCAGAGTGAAGTTTTACAATGGGTCCACGTTTTTTTTTTTTCAAACCAGAATCTTAAAATCAGTCCATAATCATACCTTCTGTTTCTAATTCCTAAATAGTAATCAATCTCATACTAATACAGATGGCTAATGAAGCCTTCATCGCACCTACCCGGGCAGTCCAGAGAGCCTGGAGAACCAGGCTCTGGAGCAGCCTCTGGTTCACAGCCCCCGGGAACTTTCACACGGCATTTATAAATTCTGGAAGAGAGCATTTAATTGTTTTTCCTTCAAAGCTATCAATTAGGGTGCCCATGCCTCGTTTTTCAATCTCAGTGCATTTGAGTCCATTTCATTGGCATTAGATACAGAGTCCCCTTGCCGTGTAGACTAGTGGTGTGGACTGCCTACACTACAGTGCTTAAAACCTTCCTCAGTTATCCTTTTCCAAGGCACAAGTAGTTGTTCCAGACAACTCAATTGCTATAATCATTATTGATAAGCTTGATGGCAGTTTATGGGAGGAGAGCCCAAGTCGGCGTGCCTCGGTGCAGGTCTAACCTGCACGTGTAGGACCGAGAACAAACTTCCTTGAGGGCACGTCTCCAGTGCCTTGGACTCAGTCCTGGTAGTCCCAACTACGTAAGATGTAGATGGGCTGCATGTAAAGGATAAGCTACCAACATATATAGTAGTTCTGTCACAGGAGCCCAGATTGCATGTGCTTCTGTTCTAGCAAACTTATTTTTTTAAATCCTTTTATTAGGGGCTCATACAACTCTCATCCCAATCCATACACACATCAATTGTGTAAAGCACATTTGTATATTCATTGCCCTCATCATTCTCAAAACATTTTCACTCCACTTAAACCCCCGGCATTAGGTCCTCGTGTTTCCCCTCCCTCCCCGCTCCCCTCTCCCTCATGAGCCCTTGATAGTTTATAAAT